CGCCGACAAAAGCGCGCCGACAAAAGCGCGCCTTCAACAAACAATAACAACCTAATAATTCTAACCCTAACCCTAACCCTAACCCTAAACCTAAACCTAACCCTGAACCTAAACCCTGAACCTAACCCTTACCTTAACTTAAATCACGCTTTTGTGGGCACGGTTTTGTCGGCGCATTGTTGTGGGCATGTTTATGATGTCGCGGTTTTCTTGCCGCCGTTTCATCAGGGCGCTTTTGTCGTGCGCGCATTTGTCGGGTCACATTACAGTGATAGACTTATTCATTTACACTAGGTAAGCCTTCTTATACAACCATGTCTCCATCATCCCAACAGCATTTAAGACTTACATATCGCTTCACAGTAATTTACAGCACTCTCTTAGCAGTTTACAGAGTCAGCATCTTGCCCCCCAACAATCTGGGTCCTCATTTTACTGACCTCAGAAGGATGGAAGCCTGAGTCAACCTTGGCATACTTGGCATTGGCCCACCCCACTCACCCTGGCAGAATATGCATACTCCGGATCCCATCAGCCAAGGAGGGGTTTAGAAGAGCTTTTTTCTGCCATGGCTTTGGACTATTATCTCCCTCATCATCCCATCTTCTTGGCCTTCCCAAAGAGCCGGAAATCCTGGCTTTGCAACTGGGCATGGGATCCCTATATGGTTATCCTGTTTTGGAGGTGGCTGGTAGATTAGTACAAGATCTTACATCCACCCTGTCTAGGCACTGGATTTTATCTGCTTTAATATTAATTTTCATGTTTTAGCTTTTAATGTTTGATGTTTTCATGTTTTAATCCTATAATTGTTTTATTCTTTTTTGGTGGGGTGGATCGGTGTTGGTCATTTAATAAATAATAAAATACTTACTCTGGGTCTAAAGTTTTCATCCCAAGTGGACCAAGTAATTTTTTCTCTAACGTTTCAAGTGCTTTCCAAGCATGCTCAGGAAAGAACATTTCAGGTGCCTTGATTTTTTTAAAAAAAAAGTAGAAAAAGATATCACATGTAAACAACAGAATACTAAAAAACATAAAAGGTACAAAATTGTCCTGAAGTTATATCCCATGTTATAAGTAACATTTATTTCACTAACTTATTTATTGAAGAGCATGATCCGTAAGCGTTCCCTGCTTTGTTTATAATCCCATCTACTCCACTGCTTCTCCCAGCAAACTATCCCCTTTGTATCTTCCAACATTTTAACCAATTTTTTGATTCAAAAGTATTCAGAATTGCTAACAAAAGTGCCAAAAACACATGCAAAAAAATAAATAAATCATGTGTCATTTTAAAAACCACAATACGCACCACAACCATTGCTATAGGGAAATTGGGCCTCAGCTGATAATCACACCAAGGACTTGATGCTCCGTAACTGTCTTTGTATATGCTCCGCTTATGAACCAGAGTTGGATGTGTCTCGTTGGGATCATTTGGGTCTTCAGAGACAAAAAACAGCTTTTCGAAATGGGCTTGGATTTTTCTGTTCCACTGATCGTATGTAAAGGTCTCGTCTCTCCCTGGAAAACAACATCAGTTTTGTGCAATTGACTGACACAATAAAAAGAATCATTAAGGACACATCCTGGTAGGTCATAGCTGTGCTGTAATTAGAAAAACGATGCTACTACAAATATATTACCTAAAATTCTTCAGATTCGGTGTTGTTAACTATCAATTCTGAACTGGGACAACTGTTTCCAAGACAAACTGAAGCCCACTTCAATCTGGAGGACCCATTAATAACAACAAATGGTAATTTGATCTAAACAAGTATTTTACCTGACTAAAAACCGGATGGTTCTAGAGCTGGCTTTATCACCGTATAGGATAGAAGTTAGGCATACTGCAAAGGCCAAGCTTCCCTATGCCTAAGCATGGAGGTAGCAAAAAATGGCTGATGGAAAACAGAATTTAGGACTGTCAATATATCGGTGTGGATCAGTGGTGGGTTTCAAAAATTGTTGGAACCTACTCTGTGGGTGTGGCCTCCTTTGTGGGAGTGGCTTGCC